TTTTCTTACAATAATAATAATGATAAGAACCTTGCGTCCCAAGTTGGCTCACGTGATTGAAATAAATGACTCGAATTGGGAACAATACCCATATGCAGATTCATTGGGATGGCAGAATCTCTTGTTAAGTCAACGGGCTTTACCTCCCTTATTTTATATGAATTTTTTTCTGACACCTAATAATTTTGTAAACAGTGATCAAGATATCGAATTCACATTCTCCTATATACACATTACATACCCATATGCAGACCAACTCTGGACAGTCATCATGGCCGCCACCTACTTTGCCCTATTCGCCTCCGGCCTCGCCGTCTTGCTTCTACTAGTCCAAGGATCGCCGCCAGGGCCCGTTGTCCAGTGCCGGTCCGGCAACACTAACTGCACCGTGACCAACGGCTATGGAGCCTTTCCTGATCGCAGCACCTGCTGCGTCGCCGCGGTCGCGTACCCTTCCACCGAACTGGAGCTCCTGTTAGCTGTCTCCGACGCCACCGAGAAGCAGCAGCACATGAAGGCTGTCACGATGTACTCCCACAGCATCCCCAAGCTGTCGTGCCCCGGAGGGCCGAGCGGCCAGGGCCTGGTCATTAGCACCCAGCGCCTCAACCGATCGGTGAGCGTGGACATGGCCACCTCGCGGATGACGTTCGAAGCAGGGATCACACTTAGGGAGCTCCTTGACGCGGCGGCCGCCCGTGGCCTGGCGCTACCCCACTCGCCGTACTGGCAAGGGATGACGCTCGGCGGCCTGCTGAGCACCGGCTCCCATGGGAGCTCGGTGTTCGGGAAGGGCTCGGCGGTGCACGAATATGTGGTAGGGATGAGGCTGGTGGTTCCAAGTCCGGCCCCGGTGAACGGATACTACGCCAAGATCGTTAATCTTGGTGAGGATGATCCTGATCTCTTGGCTGCCAAGGTTTCTCTCGGTGTTCTTGGAGTCATTTCTCAGGTATGTGTGTGGTGACCTACGTGTTATTCTTTGTTCTTTACACGGATTGAGATCCATGTGATAACTCATCTTAGTTCTTCATGGTGGTTCTTCCAACCACGTCAAGTACTTTCATAAGCTGAGTGTACAAGATTTGCCACGTTTCGATGCTAATTAGGTGCAACTATATCTTTAATTCTTCATGATATAATAGAGATCATCCTACTGTTATTAGCAACGCTGAATACATCCTATCGTCAGTAAAATGTCGAGACAGAAAAAAAAAACTTGATTTCTATCAAATCACTTTACAAAGGAAGACTTGTTCTTTTCCTTGAATCTAGAAAGTTACGTAAATAATAGGCTTTTGATGATCGCAGTGGACTTTACTTTTAATCTTTCCTTCTTTTCTTGCTTTGCTTGTCTTCCTTGTTTCAAAATGGGCTGATGCAAACCTTTGAACCGTTCTAATGATTCCATGTACCTTCCCTCGTCGTTTATCGTAACTACACAACATACTTGAGTGTTATGGAACATATGAGCACATGCAAACCCACAGAGACAAAGATCAGAGAAAAAGCAACCATTGCAATAACAGCTACAGTGACGTTGATGATGACTCGGTGTAAATGAGAGTGCCCCTTCCTTCACATATGGAGCCTCGAGCAGGGCAAGAGGCAGGCAGGTCCATGCTGCCTTGCCTTGCAGAGCTTACGACCGGGCCCACTAATTGCCTTAAAAGCCTCAGTAACAATTATTAGGTTGAAGGACGATAGGGGATGTCAGTAGTTGTAGTTCTTGTTTCAATCTTTTTGCCTGAATAGCTGAAAAGAGTTGACTAGCGATACATGTAAGCTTTTGTTCTTCTGCTTCATTATAAGTAACCTAAGAATTACTTGAACCGATCGAGCAGGTCACCCTCCAACTTGAGCCAATGTTCAAGCGATCCATCACCAACAGGGTCGTAAGCGACGTTGGCTTCGAGCAAACCATCTCCTCGTACGCTGTCACTACATACTATGGAGACATCAGCTGGTATCCGTCACAACGCAGAGTGGTGTACCGAGATGATATCAAGGTCCCCATCACCACCGAAGGAAAGGGTGTAAACGACTACTTAGGGTTCCGAGCGCAGCCCACCCACGTCGGAGCCTCTCTACGTGCTTCAGGTCTTATAAATTGCAGCTTTTATTTTGCTTGTCAAACTTAATGTAGTGTTCGAGCAGTATTATGCACACATTTACATCGACATTTCGTCCGAGATTTGTACTAAGAAGGCTTCTTTTGTCCTCTACCATGTGTTTGTGTCTGTGAATGCAGAGGAACGAGTGGAGGCAACGGGAAATGCGGAAGGCAAATGTGTGCTGTTCAGATTGCAAGTTGATACTTTGATTGCGACCGGCATGGGCCTTAAGAACAATGACGGCGGCTTGTTAGAATTCACCGGCTATCCGGTCGTTGGAAACCAAAGCGACATGCAATCCTCCGGTAGGTCCTCCAATTATCCGAAGAATGTATATGATGACACATGTTACACCTGTATTATATATTATATGGTCTGAGCCAAATTCACTCCTGTATTCTGTATTAGTCTGAACCATCTTCTCTCCAGGTTCGTGCCTAAGAAGTGCAGAAGACAACCTTCTCACGGCCTGTGGATGGGACCCTCGCTTTGCTGGGTCCTTCTACCACGAAACCGCGATAAGTATCCCCTTCACCACCGTTGCAGACTTCATCGCCGACGTCAAGAAGCTCCGCGACGCCCACCCCAACTCGCTCTGCGGCACCGAGCTGTCCTTGGGCTTCTTCATTCGCTTCCTCCGCAACTCCACGGCCTATCTTGGCAAAACGGACGACGTGGTGGAGATCGACATCACATACTACCGTTCCAGGGATCCAAAACGGCCGCGACTCTATGAGGATGTGCTCGAGGAGATCGAACAGATGGCCTTGTTCAAGTACAATGGGCTGCCGCACTGGGGGAAGAACAGAAATGTCGGCTTCCTCAATGTCAAGAACAAGCTGGGGGCTAAGTTGGCCAAGTTTGTGAGTGTGATGCAGAAGTATGACAGCAATGGATTGTTCTCTTCAGACTGGACCGATGCGGTGCTGGGACTGCGAGGGAAGGAAGTTGTGGTGCAGGGAGATGGATGTGCACTGGAGGGGCTGTGCATTTGCTCCACTGACGACCACTGCGCTCCTAAACTAGGCTATTTTTGTCGACCTGGAGAAGTCTATGAACAGGCTCGAGTTTGCCGGAAGATAAAATCCGTGGAAGCTGATGGTTTGGCATGGAGCGCATGATACCATTCACATTCATTTGCTGTGCGGTTTATTTCTGTGTCACTTCCTCTTCGAATAAAGGTTGTAATGTCAGTCAATAATTACTACATAGTTTAATGATGATTAATGATAATAACCTGCGACACACGTAAATGTTCTGATTAATTTTACATAAATTACACTTGACCCACGTTTCGTGACACAAATGACATGGTAGTTCACACCGAAACTACTGCTCTCTATAAATTACTCAACGGCGCAGCATCCAATCTTCTGTTTGTTCCTTTCTCATCCTCGCAGTATAATTTGGAGATAGGAAGTGGTCGCACCATGAGCGAGGGAAACAGCAGCGAGAGCAAGCTGACCCCGTACATCAGGCCCCCGACCGGGCCGCTGTGGCATGCCCGGGACTTGTACGAGAGCAGCAAGGCGCAGAGTGGCACCGTCATCGCGCTGTCTCGCGCCTATGGCTTTGGGCAGTGCTCGCGGACGAGCAGCAGCGAGGAAGAGATCAACGACCTCATCGGCGCCGCTTGCAAGAGCATGATGCGGGCCATCCTGGTGAAGGAGGATGGGCTGGTGCCAAGGAGCCACCGAGTGGCGACGTTGAGGATAGACGATGACAAGCCGTGTGACTTCGAGGACGACCAAGAGGAACGATGCCAAGGAGCTGTAGCTACGATGTTGCCACCAAGAGGAACGTGGGCTTCTAATAAGCTTCAAGTTAGATTGTGCGGTGATCAACACGAACAGTAAACATCCGAGCTTATATATTGTACTGCTTTCGAGGGAGGAAATAAGCATTTCGTTGAGCCGTTGTCATTCTTTTGGAACCAAAACTTATTAGGAGAGAAATCGAATAGTGAATACAGAAGAAGATATTCTTCACTTCTTTTGTGAAGCTTTGTTGTATTTTACCTACTCACCATGTATTTTACACAAAATAACTAGTTTTAGATCGGGCATGACATCCTGAAGGAATGATTGTTTAATAGACTACAATGTTTATTTATGCGAGGATTTGGCATGCTTTTCTCATCTTAAAAAAAGGAAATGTTAAATTTCTAAAAAAAGACCTCCTAACTTTAAATTATCAAATAACGCTCTGAGAAATTTTTTTAGAGTATTTTTTTCTTAAACAATCATTCTATCCATTGTCAACTCTATCCATGCATTGTTATTATTGTATTTACATGTGGCCCTCGCATAAGGAAGGAAGGGGTGCAAGAGTTGTCACCTCCTTCCTGCACCACCTCTCCTCCTCTTGTCATGCTGGATTTGTTACTTATAGGCCTCACTCGAGGAAAGAGAGGGTACGAGAGCCATTGCCACTTATGCGGACCCCACCAACTCTATCCTAGCGCCTCGATCACAACTTTCATATGAGAAAGGAGGGGACGTGAGGGCCGTCATCGTTTCTGTGGACCTTACTAGCCCTAGGACCTTGCTAGACTCTATTGGACTTGTTGCCCGTAGCCCTTACACAAGGAAAGAAGGGTTGTGAGGGTCGACGCCACCACCATCTTCACAGACCACTACGACCCTGCTTATATGCACTTCACTCGTAACCCTTGTGCAAGGAAGAAGGTGGCACATGTGCTATCGTTGCCTTTGTGGAACCTATTAGTCTCCGTCAAACCTGTTGTCACTCTGCACCACCCCCCCTTTCCTCGCACGAGGGCCATAGTGTGCAAGGGTTGTGAGTGACAGATTATATGAAGTAGAGGAGAGGATAGGTAGTGCATGGAGTAAGGGCACAAGTGATTATAGAGGGAGGAGGAGATAACTATAGGTCTAATAGAAATAGAGATAAAATAATATTTTTATATAATCAAGATACTCTATGAATTTCTTAAAGTTAAAAGGCTCTGTAAAAAATTCATAATGTTAAATCTAAAAAAAAAATAAGGATTTGACGTGCGTCCGACAAGCCTCCTTCCTGGAGAGGATCAACACACAGCTAGTTAGTAGGGGATTCAGTAACTTTCCTTTTTTTTTCCCTTTAAAAATATGAAGTTTCATAACTTATCAAAAAGAGGTCCAAATTGTACATTTATACCAATAAATTTGAATACTACAAGTTTTTCTCTTGCAACTAATACACACACATATACTACAGTTTTGCCCCATACAAATCGAATAACAATGAGTATAGTTTTGACCCTTCCATGTATAGAAATTAAATAAAAATTAGTTTGATTCAATTCAAAGAGTTAAGTTTCTATATTGTGGACCAAATTAAGTATATATAATCAGACTCTTTTAATTCTTAATTATACTAGATTATCCTCTTAGTTTATTTTATTTCAATTTAGACATGAATATTTTCATTACAATGTGAATAATAAAAATATCTTAAAAGTGAAGTCATATTTGGTTCTTTATTAGACCTTACTTTTCAACTTTTGTAACGATCCAACCAATGACCTCATTATTGGCCATGAATGAAATCTTGAATTCTAATTTTTAAGTAAAATGTAACTTATGATATTTTAGATTAATACAAGTTAACAATTATTAACTATCATTAGTTATGATTGATTAAAAATTGAAATGTAGTAATAGAATATGATATTACAAAATGTTCACATCATATTTCTTTCTTAAAAAATAATCTTGTTTATACCAAACTCGAATTCAAAATCTCATCTGATATATTTTGAAGATATCATCTAATTTAGTTGGTGTTAGTGTAGATTTTGATTATATGAGCTAGGATAATTCTTCAAATTGAATCAAAGTCTATTCCAAACCAATCTCACTTCACATCACTATTAATAAAGCACCAAACTTGTAAAACTAGGTCAAGAGGTATTCTTGACAAATATTCCTTCAATAATCAATTGAATTCTTAGGTTTGGACTGGCTGATGAATATTGAAGTGAAATCATATCTTAAGAGTACATGAGAGTCCTTTTTATGGGTGATACTAAGGATGATTATTCCTAGAATCACCGATCACTTAGGCTAGTCGATCACGAGTTCAAATTATCTATCATTTGGCCACATATCACCCCTTTATGAGTATATATCTTACTACCTGACCATCATCTGTCAAACGCGTGTGATCCCCATGCTCTTTGATAATCGACCCATTGGCTTCTTGGCCACGTGTCGCATTGTGGCAATGTTGTATTTGACATGTCACTTGTCACCTATCACTAGCCCCCCATTTCTAAGTTGATAGATTATAGGGCTATAGAGCTAAGAAGTGCTCTGGCCTATGATTTTTACACTGATAGCGAGTTTGTTCATCATCGTTTTGACATATGTCATTGGAATGCATGTTGTGTCCATTAAAGCTATTCTATCCATTCAGTGTGTTTGACGCATTCAGTCCATTTGACCCATTCCGTTGGTTAGGGTCGTTCAGCTCGTTCAATCAATTTGACATGTTAGGCTTTTTAGGATTTAACCTAGATGGTACCACGAAGTTTTCTTAAGATATCTTAGTTGCCCTCTCTCTAACGCTAATATATTAGTATAAATTTTAATTGTCTGAATTGAGATGATAACTTAGATCCAACTGAGATTCATTGCAAGTTAGTCTTACTCTAGGAAACCTACAAATGCCCCATCGTAGATCAAGTCAGACTTGTTGGCCAATAATAAAGTCAAGTTGGATCCTCGAAGTGTACCTAGAGTCCCTTTTATTAGTAACTCTGAGAATGATTATGTCCGGAATCATTGATGGTAAGAGAGGAATATGTGCCACATTCAGACTGAGACTTGGCATGATATTCATCGAACCTTGTGTTCACATAGGTTGGTTGTGCTAATCATGGGTTTGGACGATCGACTATTCATCCACGTATTATCTCATGCTGAGTGTGCATCTCATGATTCCATCATCACCTATCTATCACATATGATCCTCATGCTCTTTGGTTGTCAACCTTGTGGCCATGTGTCACTACACGGTGATGTTATATTCGATATATTACTCTTTATGCTGAAAAAAAATTTGATAGTTGATCACTAGACTCAAAATTCTACATTCGTTAGTGGTGCGTTGGCCATGTCTCGCCGCATGATAGTGTTATATTCAATGTCACACCCTTCACCTGTCAGATAAAGACTTTAATAGTTCCTCCCAAAATTTTAGACTTAAATTCCACATTAATCACTTATTCTCAAAAAAAAAATCTGGTTAAGATCGCAACCACTGCTTCGGTTACAATTATCCCTTCTATTTTTATAACAGAACAAATAGGGTAAACAGTGTGCGAGTCGATCAGTCGGTGGACTGCCTTCATTCCACCGACTTACACCATCATGAGATCCTCTTAATTTTCAAATTATAATAATTATAATTTAAAAAATATGAATAACATTAAATAAAAATAAACAAAAAAATCAGCCATAACGCGTAAAGGTCAAAGTCAAAGTACCCATGACCCATGGACTGGGACACGTGGAGGCAAGAAAGCATCACAACAGACTCGAGAACGAGCCCACTCGATTGGACCATTCAGGGCGGGATTAATTGAAAGAAACAACGAGCGAGACAGTCAGCAGGTCCACTAAACTGGAAGCATTCTTCATGCTTTGAAATCAAAACATGAGTCTAACATGATCAACCAAATTGGACTCAACACTTGTGATCGAGAAGAATAGGGTGCCGCCATGTTCGTACAAGTAAATGGTTGATGTGATCCGGGAGAGAGCAAGGCATATAAATGCTTCATAACAAGGGAACGTCTCTTACAAGTTCTCCATTGACAGGTTCTCTTCCTGCTTAGAATTGGTCCAATGTTTTCCGGCTTCCACATACCTCAGGAAATTGAGTAAAGAACTCTATTTAAGCGACTTCAAGTCGGCACGACTCTCTTCGCATCCAATGTTAATGTAGCGCTATGAGCAAGGGAAGCAGAAGAGGGAACAAGCTGATGCGGTACATCAAGGCCCCTTATCGAGCACTGCTTCGTGCCCGGGACTTGTACGTGAACAGCATGGCCGGATGCGCCGGCAGGGCCCAGCGCGGGCCGACGATCATCGCGATGCCACGCGCCCAGAGCCGCAGCTTCCACCGCCCGCAAATGAGCAGCGGCGAGGACGACATCAACGAGCTCATCCGCGCTGCGTCGAGGAGCAGGCTGCGGTCCGTCGAGGGAGCGGCGGTTCCGAGGAGTCACAGCGTGGCGGGGATGACGATTGACGAGGACAAGCCATGCAACTTTGAGGGCGACGTCAAGGTGGCCTTGGGCCCGAGGAGCCGGAGCTGCGACGTCGTCTCCAAGAGGAGGGCGGGGTTTACAACAAACGCCGTAAGCAGCATCCGAAGCTTCTAATACCAAGAGTGGAAGCACCAAATGCAGCAATTCCATGTCGTTGTGGTTTCTATTACTCGTGTTCGTGAACTCGATTCGATACTTTCTCTCCTCTTCTTCTCCTGTCATGTTTCTGTTCACTCGTGAATGTTTGGGCTGCCTGCTTACCTCATTCCATCTACACGAACGGAATGTTCATATGGCATCTCGGTATCATTTCCCTCAAAATTTGAGCCTACATTTGAAGCATTTTCATTATATATATATATATATATATATATATATATATATATATATATATATATATATATATA